AAAGAGAATGGAGCTGAGGAAGGGTCTGGAGCAGCAGGAGCAGCTGAGGGAGCTGTGGGGACTCAACCTGGAGAAAAGGAGCCTCGGGAGGACCTTCTCACTCTCTCCAGCTCCCTGCCAGGCGGTGCAGCCAGGTGAGGTCAGGCTCTGCTCCCAGGGAACAAGGGACAGGACAAGAGGGAATGGCCTCAAGTTGTGCCAGGAGAGGTTTAGATTGGATATTAGGGAAAAATTTCTTCCTGGAAAGAGTAATCCAGCCCTGGCACAGCTGCCCAGAGCAGTGGTGGGGTCACTGTCCCTGGAGGGATTTAACAGCCATGTGAATGTGGCGCTTGAGGCCATGGTTAGTGGTGGCCTTGGCAGTGCTGAGAGAACAGTTGGACTCGGTGGTCTCAGAGGACTTTTCCAACCTAAACGATTCTATATCGATTCACTGCTCTCAAAGGTGACACCAGGAGAGGCACCAGAGTGGTCCTTCCCGGGGCTGCCATCCGGGACGCCAGGGACAGGCGCTGTGGCTGCCACTAGATGGCACAGATGTCATTTGACAGGAATTGGCTTAATTTTCCCCAGGGCAGCGAGGCCAGCAGCAGCCACCTCCTGGGGGAGGCTTTGAGGTCTCAGTGGTGCACTCTGCTCTCCCAAAGAGACATCTCAAATCCCTTTACAAAGAGGGTGATCTCTGTTTTAGGGATGGGAATGGATGCATGGGAAAAGGAACAAGACTTCCCAAAATTAACCCACAGGCCAACACCAGTAAGGTGGCAGAGCAGGAGCAGCTAACCAGAGAACCATCCAGGGAACTCAGTTTCACTGCTTCCTTTGGCACAGCCAAAGCCAATGCTGTGCAAAAGGTGGAACAATCCTCATGAGCCTCTAAGATAACATCAGGGACGTTAAAGACATGACCAAAGCGGTAGAATTCAACTCTCCTCCTCCTGCCAAGGTCTCCACTGCTGTGCATGGCTGGTCCCACTTCGACAAGCTTCATTTGTGTCCTTCTCAAGCTGGGCCAACTCTTCTGGGGTTGGGATCATTTACAGCAGGTGAGCCAAGGGTAGATTCAGGTCAATTCCAAAAGATACCTGGACACAATTTTACCTGTCAGTAATCAGAGCATCCCAGAATGGTTTGGATTGGAAGGAACCTGAAAGATCATCTTGTTCCAGTCCTCTTTAACAGGGTCCTTACAGGACCACTAGCCCAGGTTGCTCTAAGCTCCATCCACTTGGCCTGGAACACTCCCAGGGATGGAGCAGCCACCGTTTCCTGGGCACCCTGTGCCAGTGCCTCATCACCCTCACTGCCAGGAATTTCTTCCCAATATCTAATCTAAACTTGCCTTCCTTCAGTTTAAGGCCATTACCCCTTGTCCTGTCCCTCCAGGCCCTTGTCCCAAGTCCCTTTCCTTTCCAGCTGGAGACCCTTTAAGCTCTGGAAGGGACTCTCAGGTCTCTCTGGAGCCTTCTCTTCTCCAGGCTGAACACCCTCAGCTCTCCCAGCCTGTTCCACAAGTCTGCCAAACCCTGATCTTGAAGATCTGCCCTGTAAAACCTGTCAGCAAACCTCATTCTGTGAGGCCTTTTCACACCTGTTCAGTGTGGGTTTTGTTTTGTCTCTCACAGCTTTAAGCTCTGGAAGGGACTCTCAGGTCTCTCTGGAGCCTTCTCTTCTCCAGGCTGAACACCCTCAGCTCTCCCAGCCTGTTCCACAAGTCTGCCAAACCCTGATCTTGAAGATCTGCCCTGTAAAACCTGTCAGCAAACCTCATTCTGTGAGGCCTTTTCACACCTGTTCAGTGTGGGTTTTGTTTTGTCTCTCACAGCAGTGATGACCCTGATGTGTCATCTGCATGGCTGTTGTTCTGCCACTGCCAGAAGGCCACAGACCCAGCACAGCCCTGCAGGAGAACACCCTTGGGACAACCTCTGACACTGCTCAACATCCACAGGCACCTCAAGCTCATGGGAGCTCCTTTGGTGGTATGACTGGGAAAGAGGAGCCACTTGGGCTGTGGGTGTGAGGGCAGGGTGTGAAGGCAGCTGTGTGCAGGGTGTGAAGGCAGCTGGCGTGGGGGTGAGAATGAGGGAGGTGTGAGCAGAGGGCAAGACTGAGTGTCAGAATCTTCTCTTTCCCCATGAAGTTAATGGCAAAGCTCCCAGGCTGGCTCCAGGCAAGGCAGAGACATCATCTAGTCCAACTGGATCAGTCCAGAGCTGGCCAAAACTTAAAGTGCATTATTGAGGGCATTTTCCAAGTGCCTCTTAAATAGTGCCAGGCTTGGCACATCAACCACCTCCATATGAAGCTTATTTCAGTGTCTGACCACCCTCTTGGTAAAGAAATGCTTCCTAATGTCCTGTCTAAACCTCCCCTGATGCAGCTTGGAACCATTCCCATGCATCTTATCCCTAGATACCAGCAAAAAGAGATCCACATCCCCTCAGGAAGCTGTGGAGAGCAATGGGGTCATCCCTCAGCCCCCTTTTCTCCATACTAAACAAACCCGAAGTCCTCAGCCACACCCTGCAGGAGGCTCAGCACTCTGTGGAATTTGATATCAGTCCTTTATGCCTTGGTGAGCATAAGCGACAGGACATTCCCTCCTATTTCCTCCTCTCACGTGGCAGTTAACTTCAGGCCTCCAGTTCCCACTGGTGTCCTCTCTGCCCAGCCGAAAGAATGAGTGGTTTAGTCGGGAAGTGCATCCTTCAGCAAACCTCCTGGGTTAGGTCCATGAGGGAAGGCACTTCAAGCAGCTCCATGCTGTCATGAAGCAGCATGTTCAAGCAGGAAGGGAAGGATACCAGCTCTGGCATGTTGTGGCTGCTATTTTCAAGCTGCCCCAGGAGATGGATGTCAGGTAAATAAAACTGGATGAAGGTTTGACATCTGGAGTTACTAAGCCACAAAGAAAATACATAACAAAGCCCAAGTCTTTAACAGGGAAGGTCATGACATGTTGGGACAGTTTAACTGGGGTTGTGTGGGTTCTGCTTCAATGAATGTTTTAGAATTGGGCTTGGAGGCTTTTTCTTGAGGATCTCCTCATTTCTGTGGCTTGGGCTATGCAGAATTGCTGAAGTCCCTCCAATTTGTGGAGATGTGCTACAGTATAACCATGTGTGTTCTCCAGACAGAGGTTGCTGAGGACCCAGAGAAGGTCTCCACTGTTCACTTACAGCTTGGGCTACCCCTTGTGTTCATCCTGAGCCAGAAAGAGACCTATGAGGCTGACAGGAGGACAGCAGAGTTTGTGGCCTGGAAGCTCTTGGGGAAAGCAGGAGTTGCCCTTTTAGCCAGGTATTTCTCTCAGGTGTTTTGGGGTTCTCCTTGCTTTTTGTGCTGTTTCCAAGCTCAGGATGACAGTCCATGGACTTACTCACATCTGGATGAAGCAGTCAAACCAGGCTATATCCTGGGAGAGAGTGTCACACTTAAGGACTTGCCCAGAATCAGATTAGTTGGGAAGTGTTGCTGGCTTAGAAGTGGAAAAACAGTCAGACTAGGAGAGGTTTTGAAAAGGAAACTTAGCAGTGATAGAACACTTGCATTTTGCCCTCGAATTGAGGACAGAAAGAGGAGGAGGTGACTTTGCATGTCACACTGGTGTTCACTTTGTGTTTTGGAAGGGACCTCGTGGATCTGAACGTTCTGCACCGATCAAACGTCGCTCTGAAGACACCAGATGAGGTTAGATGTTGGATTCCTTCTTTGCACAACTCTTCCTACCTAGGCATGAGGCTCTTGAGAGGTGTTGGGGTGTTGCTTAGGTCTGTTGTTATTTGACAGCATTCCCTGAGGCTCAAGAGGAAGTATATTTCCCCAGATGCACATGTGTGTGCAATAGATTTTCCAGAGAAGTTGTGGCTGCCCCATCCCTGGAAGTGTTGCAGACCAGCTTGCATGGGACCTGGAGCAGCCTGCTCTGGTGGGAGGTGTTCCTGCCCATGGCAGGGGGTGGAATGAGATGAGCTTTAAGGTCCTTCTAACTCAAACCATTCCATGATGAATCTGTGCTTCGGAATTGCCCAAGCTGAGTGCTGTGGAGTGATTGTGCCTGCTGGTAGGGATAAAATACTGAGTTTATTTTAGGTTCAAAACATGGAGTGACATCTCCTTTACACCTTAAGGCAACACAAGGTTGTGATCTATATCCGAGTGCAAATTCCCCAGAGATATGGACTTTTCAAAGCCCTTTTTCCCTCTTAAGAGAGGCATCAAAAGGCAGGAGAGGGAATGAGTGTGAGACTAAGAGCAAACAACCAAAGGTCTGTGCTGAGCGGATGTAACCAAATGCCTCTGGCAGTGATTTGGGAAAGGGTAGGGTGTGAATTAAATGAGGTTGATCCAGATGAGCTAAACTCTGGAGGGACCTGACCCAGCTTGTGAGGGAAGATGGAATTTGGTGGTGACACATGCCAGGGAGCACATGTTGCCCCACATTGCCTGAACTGTCACTCTTGGGAGTACAGAGATACAGGATGAGACCTGAGCATCCCCTGAGGGGTTTCCATGCCCTGGTGAAAGATGTGCATGTTGTGTTGCTCCTCTGGGAGCCCAAGGGAGGTACCAGCACTTTTATTTCTCTCAGTCCATGGTAAGATTCCCATTTGCTCTCAAGTGCATTTGTCTGAGTCAGTGCCAGAACTGGTTTTAAGCCAACAAGGTTTGGTTTCTGAGAAATGCATTTTGCTCTTTCCTTTCCAGGGGTTGGCAGCCCCTGAACACTTGGGAATGCTCTTCCTGGCTGAGCTCTGTGAGATAAAGGATAGTTTATGCCATTTCCCAGTCTGTGATGGGCTGCTTGAACCCAGCCTGACAGCCAAGTGAGCCCTGTACCTCCCTGCCCTCCTTCCCTGCTTGGCCACTGGGATTTTTCCTGCAGTGGTGGATCCATGTTAAGTTGTTGGGCAGTGGAGCTGGTGGTCACTTTCACCACAGAATCCCACATAGCCACATTCCTCACAAGGAAACATCAGCCTGAAGTGAGGAAAACACATGGACAGTGAAATTGGGCTAAAGAAACACAACCTAGGCATTCCCTTGTTAGGAAGCTTTAGGGATCTGCTGACATATCCCCAAAATAAGGAGTTGGGTGTTGGAGTTACATCAGTCTTGAGTTTAGTTTGCAGAGGGAATAGGCAGAGGGTGATGTTTTGCTCCCACTGATTTACTCTGTTTTCCTTAGGGAATGCCAATCCAATACCTGGTCTTGGAAGACACCGATGAAGTTATAACCCTGGTGGAAGATAAGAACAAGGTCAAGCAAATCCAGGAGGAAGAGGAGGAGGAGGAGGAAGATGAGGCTGAAAAGGAGAATAACAATCAAGGTGTGCAATTAAGCAGTGAAAATCTGATTGTCATCAGATAGGACATGCAATCAACATCTGCCAGAGACTTACAGGTGTAAAAGCTTTAGAGAACACTTGCAAACTATCATAGTAACATCCTGGTGGCCTCAAAGTGGCTCTTTCCTTCTCTGTAGGTCACTGAAGTTCCAGATGGACAGGTATCATTTTTAGGGGAAACACCAGGGACACCAATGAGCTGTTAGAGGAACAGTCACACAAGTGCTGCATGAAGGACAGAGGTGCTTCTGCTAGGATTCACTCAGCTCCAGAGGCATGCAGGGTTTAAAGTGCACCCAGTCTGTCTCCTCTTCAAGCATCTGAAGAACCTCAGAATTATCAATCCTTTTGGAAAGCTTTGAGACATGTTTTTGTAGGAGCAGTTCCCCAGGAGGAAAGCACTGTCCCTGCAATGCAGGATTGAGAAGGCAGTTGTTCTCCGTACAAAATTGGGTGTGCAGGATCCTAGAGAGCCAACATGTCCAAATCCAAGGGGAGAAGTGAAGTGGGAGAAGTGCATTTTGGTGGGTTTGGGGGAAGCAGTTGCTTCCCCCCTTGTCTCTGTTGAGAGGTTCTGGCTTACATATCATACTGCTGGGGTGGCCCAGGGCACTGCAGTTCTGCAGCCCTGTGCACACCTGTGTTCATGCATCACTCTGGATCCCTTGCAGACATCCAGGATGACCAAGTGGTGGAAGCAGTTTCCAGGGACAAGAAGAGAGAGCTGCCACTGGAGCAGATCCTTGTCCTGACAGAGGAGAACTTCCACTCCTCCCTCTCGAGTGCTGCTCGGACAGTGGTGCTGTTTTATGCCAGCTGTGAGTATGACGCATGGCCTGGCTGTCCCTTCTCTAACCTTGGGATGCTCTCCGTGGTTTCCGTGATGCTGGAGACAAGTTGAGACTATAAATAAGTGCCTCACCCTCCTCTATGGGTCTCAGCAATCAGATTAAATCAGTTCTTCTCATTGGCTGAGAACATAGTCCTCCAGGAACATAGTGTCCTCCAGGATAGGAGATATCAATGTTCATAGGGGTTTAACCTGCATTTTATAGGAAAAATGTAGGATAAGAGGGAAAGTCATGGCCGCATGGGCTCATGGGATAGCCTAGACAACCTGGGTGCTGCCTGCTGAAGCCTAACAAAGCAGAGTCCATCATTCCAGAAGCATAAAGTTCAATTTTCCTTATTCATTTCAAGTCTTTCAGAGCTTGAAACACCTTAGGGTGCAGCGAAGCATAATGTGGCATTGTCAGAGAGCAAGGTGAGCCTGGTTGTCACCTGTGTGTCCCTCAGGGCTGTGTCTCCTGTGTTTCAGGGGAAGCTGTGTCCCTGGCAGTGCTGAGGTCTTACACTGAGGTGGCTGATCGGCTGAAAGGTAAGGTGCCACAGGGCTGAGGGATGTAGGATATTGATGGTATCTCACTCTCTCATCAGGAATACACTCATGTTTTCCCCTCACACTCCTAAGGAAGGCATATCCACACCAGGATGCTTAGGAAGGGTCCTTTGTTTCTTATTTAGGGATCTTTTCAGTCTCTTCTCCCAGGGAACAAGTGAGAGGATGAGGTGAAATGGCCTCAAGTTTTGTCAGGGAAGGTTTAGGTCAGATATTAGGGAAAATTTCATCGTGGAAAGGGTGGTCAGGCATTGGCTCAGGCTGCCCAGGGCAGTGATGCAGTCACCATCCCCGGAGGGATTTAAAAGCCGTGTGGATGTGTGGCACTTGGGGACATGGTTAGTGGTGGCTTTGGAACAATTGGACTTGATGGTCTTAGAGGGCTTTTCCAGCCTAAATAATTCTATTATTCTAGATGCCTCATCCCTGGAAACATTCAAGGCCAGGCTGAATGGAGCTTGGAAAAAACTGGTCCAGTGGAGGGTGTCCCTGCAGCTCTCTTGTCCTTGGAAGTACTTGATCTGGAAAGGAGCAGCAATTGGCCCTGGCTTAGGTGGAAAGCAGGACAGACAGGTGTGGGCAGGCCCAGATCCACTGGGCAGGATGGTGTCAGAGGGAGCATTTACAGTGCTGGTGCCTCCAGGGCCTGCAGACTGGCTTCATTCCATGGGAATTCTCACAGGTGGCCACAGAACTCCATAAATTACACCTAATGGTGAAGAATCAGCAGCACTTAAAGACAAAGGCAGGGAAGAGTGATCCTGCTGGCAGCAAAGACAGGAGGGAATGATCCTTCAAGGGGGTCTGAGCAGTTCCTGAGCAGTGTAAGCCCCCGTTCAGCTCCATTAGGGTCTCCAGTCCCATCCCTATTGGTGGATAGTAGAGAGAGGTGGATTCTTCTGCACATCCATTATGGGCTGAATCTCTTCCAGAGCTGCCTCTTTCTCCCTTTGGCTGTTGGAGACACTGAGGTGGCTTCATCCCCAGCAACCCAATGGGGAAGTCACATGGATCTGGGTGAGACCTGCTCTGGCACCTCTGGAGGTGGCTGGTGCCTCCTCCTGGTTTTCCTTTTCCGTGAAGGCTCATTTTCTCCTGGTGCTGGCTCTCCCCTGAGACTGGACACCTTTCAGCAATGGGGACATGTCTGGAGCCTGCAGAGGACCCAGCCAGCTTTCTAGAAAGCAGATGCAGTGGGAGTTACTTCCAGGAAACCCTCCTGGGAATGCTGCAGCCAGTGCTGTGATTTGAATGAAAGCAGTTCTGCATTCAGAGATTGCATGATGGGAAAGTCACCAGCAGCCTTGATCTGGACTGAAATTCCAGGAATAAATAGAAAAGGTCAGGAGGAGTTGTAGTTGTTAGAGATGTTATGGTTGGTGATGGTGTGGGGTTTCTTTTAGCTCCCCCCCTCAGCAGCCAGACCAGCTAGGGGAGCAACATGGAGAGTCCATGGGTCAAATCCTGCCTCTTCCTGAGCCAGTGGCCAAAATGTGATGGATTCTGCTCAGCCAGGATTTCACCATGTATGTTTTGAATCAATTGATAACAATCTCAGTACATGGAAGCAGCCACAGATTTAGACCTGAATGGGGTCAGGGACTTTCCTCTGTGCTCAGTGAGGTCCCACCAGGGCAGATGTGACCTATGGTATGACTCCAGGCTGCTTTCTCTGCCACAGTCTTGGAGTGGACAGAGACCAGCTGTGTTAGTCGATCTGTGAGGATCCTTTGTCTCTGCTGCTGAGGGAGCCTCAAGGAACTGGCAGGACCAGCTTCCAGGGGAGCTGGAAGTTGTCAAAGGATGCTGCTCCTTGGGCTCTCAGTGATGGCAGGAACCTGGATCAGGAAGGTCTTGAGCTCTGCAGGACTGAGACTGAAACATGGGCTATGGCTTGGGACAATCTCCCAGTTCCCCAGAAGCACTGGTATTCCTGTCTGCTCTCCAGGGTGGAGCTTTCTTCCCAAGGTCTGGGAAGCCAGTACCAGCTGTCTGAGGCATGAATCACCTGTGCCTGAAGCACACTTTGAGGTGCTGAACCAGGTCCTGCTTTTGATGCCAATTCTTTGTGCACAATGGCACTGAGGATAGGCCACATGCCATCAAGTGTACGGCAATGGGGGTGGTTGGAGGCTGGAATGACCCTGTGAATCATTCCAGAGCAGATGTTCAGCAGATCAGCACAAAAGGAAGTTTACAGCTCCCAAGCGTTTTTTGTTTGTGAAGAGATCCAGTTTAGCAAGCAGCAAGAGGAGCAGCTTTGTCTTGCTGAACTGAGCAGTGGTTCCTGCTCTTGGAACAAGAATGTGCCATTCCCAGTGCCACTGGGGCTGAGTGCTGCAGCTCTGGTTTGCTGTGGCAAGGGATAAGGTTTTGGGAGCAGCACCCCTGGGCCAGGAGAAGAGGATGTGAAGGTGAGACAGTGCTGAGCATTTCTTAGGTATGGGATTGGCTTGATTTTTGCAAAGAAAAAAGGAAACCCATACCTAAGAAGAGCAATATATTGTGATGAAAACCATTTCTGCTTCCCTCCTCTGTGCTTGTCAAGTCTCCTTAGAATTGTAAATCATCAGGGTTGGAGAAGACCTCAAAGATCGTCAAGCCCAACCATTAACCTGCCACTTTGCTAGTCTCCTTGACTAATGACTTCCAAGGATGGGGCAAAGATGTAGCTCAAAGGCATGAAAATCACCAGTGTGATTTAGCAATGTATATTCACAGAGCCTAAATCTGAGGTGAGGATTTAGTTCCTTGTGTGATGCTATCTGGGTGGTTGTTTCCCATTGCATACCAGATTCTTCCTCTGGAAGTGCAGCACTGCATACATAATTTCTCTTTCATGCTGTAGCCTTTGGATCAGCTCTTCAGGTGAGCTGTACCTAATATCACAGAATCTTTAGGTTGGAAAACCCCTCTAAGGTCATCGAGTCCAACCACTCCCCCGGCACTGCCAAGGCCACCACTAACCATGTTCCCAAGTGCCACATCCACGTGGCTTTTAGATCCTTCCAGGGATGATGACTCCACTGCTGCCCTGGGCAGCTGTGCCAGGGCTGGACAACCCTTTCCATGAAGGAATTTTCCCTAATAGCCAACCTAAACCTCCCCTTGTGCAACTTAAGGCCATTCCCTCTTGTCTTGTCCCTTGTTCCCTGGGAGCAGAGCCTGACCCCACTTGGCTGTGCCTCCTGCCAGAGAGTTGTAAAGAGCAATAAGGTCCCCCTGAGCCTCCTTTTCTCCAGGCTGAGTGCCCTCAGCTCCTTCAGCTGCTCCTTGTGGTCCAGCCCCTTCCCCAATTCCATTCCCTCCCCTGGGCACATTCCAGTGCCATGACAGTCCTGCCTTCCAAAGGATTAGAAGTTCAAGGGATTCTTGATACTCATTCCTTATAACATTGATGGTTTGTCTTGGCCTGATTTCGTAAGACCCCTAGGACAGAGGTTCTCACTGTTGCTGGGTTTAGTAGCACCTACAAGCACAGAACAGCAGGATTTGCGTTCCTCTTTCATCCTTATCATTCATTAGCTCAACAGTGAAGCACAGGGCTGGACAGCCTGTGGTTGAATTACTCAACTCCTGAAACTGCTGCTCTTTGGCAATTCATAATGTGCTGCGGGTTGGGATGGGATTGTGATCATGCTGTATGAGGTGTTCCTCAGTCCAGATGAGGCTCCTTTGGACCACATGGTAGATAATCCCCTGAGGTGCTATCTGGATACTAAAATTCATATTTGAGGGACCTTTGAGCAGCCTCACAACTCAATTTTAACAAGGCCTCAAATCCCTGTTTCCATGGCATTAATTCCCAGAGTTGGGCAAGACACAAGATGTGGTAAGAGATGATGAGAACCAGCTACACTGGCTCAGAGGTGTGAAGTAAATCCAGGGTCAGGCTTTTAATTGGAGATGTTCTTTCAGAGTGTGAGGAATGACACAAACCATTTCCACTCTCCTGGAGTGTTTGACAGCTCCTGCCTGGGTGGATTTGCAGCGCCTTTGCTCTGTGCTGCGTCTTGCTTGTTCTGTCCAAGAGTTTGATGCAAGGCAGAACAGCAGCAAACTCCTCCTGTGAACTGCAAAGCAGAGCCTGAAATGAGAGTTGCAGAAGATGGTCCAGTGGGATGCCAAGGACGTAGGGATATGGGATAGGAACTCATGTTAAGGTCAGCTCTGCCATCACCTTAACATGAGAGATGTATTGCCCATCCTTGCAGCCACGTTCTAACATGTGATCAAACCCTTCCACAGCTTCTCTGTCTAAAATACTCCGAGAATCATGGAATGGTTTGGGTTGAAGGAACATTAAAGCTCATCCCATTCCACCCACTGCCATGGGCAGGGACACTTTCCACTAGCCTAGGTTGCTCCAAGCCCCATCCATCCTGGCCTGGAACACTCCCAGGGATGAGGAATCCACAGCCTCTCTGGGCAACAAGAGGTTGTGCAGCTATCAGCTCTGCTTGGTTGTCAGCTTGTTTTCCTATTTGGCTGTCCCTCCCTACCTGGCAATGGCTTGTTATCCTTGCCCAGTGATGTCACTGTCACCTCCAGACTTTACATATTGTTAGATTTTATTGTTTCTTCCTGGCAATTAATTTCTCGTCCAAAGTTCTTTGGGGTTTTCCTCAGTATCATGTCCAAACTCCTCCAGATTCTCATTGCTTAAGCCTTTCCAAAGAAATGCTTCTCCGCCTGATTTGCTGGGCTCTGCAGAGCTCTCACCAGGACAGAAGAGCAGCATTTTCCCCCCAGTACAGACACTGTTGAGTTCATCCCATTCCAGGAGCACTGATGGTATCTGTGCATCCTCCTTCTCATCGTGGAATGCTGCTATTCTTACACTTTGCCCTTCACATTTCTTTATGCCCCTCTGAGCTTGGGATCATTTGCAGATTGGGTGTGTTTTATTCCAGCCAGGCTGTTGATGAAATAGTGATCACAGTCAAACCCAGGGCTAGGCAGAGAAGAACACTTGGCTGGTTTGATTTGCTCTGCCTCTGTGTCTGTGCCTGTCTCTAGGTTCCATCCCACCTTTCCCATCTAGCTGTTAAATCCTGTTCAAATAAATGTAAGGAATGAAGATTTCTGAGCTGTGGCAGCAGCATGTGCTGGTCTTCACCCAGCCTGAAGGTGAAAGAAAGGCTGGTAAGATCCCTGAAAGTGTTCCAGGCCAGGTTGGATGGGGCTTGGAGCAACCTGGGCTAGTGGAAGGTGTCCCTGCCCATGCCAGGGGCTGGAACAAGGTGGTCTTGAAGGTCCTTTCCAACCCAAACTATTCTGTGCCTCCATGATTCCTTGATGTAGGACATGCTGGAGTTGCGGAAGTCTTGGGCTCCTGTAGAGCATGCAGGAAACTAACCTTCCTTTGTTTCACTGCTTACCAGTCCCTTGAGGTTATCACTTTGGTGAGACCCATAAAAAGCTTCATTAGGACTTCTCCCAGGATCCAGAGTTGGACTGACTGCTCTGGAAGTCCCAAGTGCTCTTCCTTTCCCTCTCCCTTAGTTGTGAGATCCTTTCCTTAGGGTCATACAGGTGTCTGCTATTGCCTTGGAGATGAGCAGCTACCATGGATAGAATCACTGAATATCCTGAGCTGGGAGGGAGCCACAGGGATCAAGTCCATATCCTGGCTCTGCACAGAGCATCTCCAACAGTGTTCCTGAGAACATAGGAGTCAGAAATGCTATGAGACTGCCTGTGTTATATGTGTCTTCCATACATCCCTTTGACTGCTCTGTGTGTATTTCCTTTGTGCTTGAGGTAGAACTTTTCACTATGGGGCACCTTAATACGTGAAAAAGCCTTGAACACTTCATCCTTCTCCATGCCAAGCTTTATCTTCCTTTTTCCTGGCAGTCAGTGCCTGTTGTTTCTTCTCTTGGCCTCATTCCTAGGATATTTCCAGTACCTTTCCTTATATGCTCCTGGAGAGTTACTTCAGGGTTTTGTGGTATCCCTTTGAGTAACCAACCAGACCTCAATGTCTCTGGGAATTACCAGAGTACAACCTCTCACTTCCCTGAGTTTATTCTCTCCATGCTCTGTTGTTTGGATCAATCCACACCTGATGGGATATTCCACATATTCACAGACTGGAAATAGTTCTTATTGTGCCCAAAAAGGGTAAGGCATATCCATGAAGGATTTCAAGAGGGAGATGGGCTGTACTCAAAGGGATTGTGTATCCATGGCTGGATTTTGGGATCCTGCCCACACAAAGTGGCATTTGGCTCCAGGAATGGTCCAGTAACATGTCAGTGGTAGCCCACTTGGGCTGGCTCCAATTGCTAGGATCCAGCCCTTTGGGATACATACCAAAGCCAAAAGGATTTCTGGCAGCATTAATACAAATATATGAGATAATATCCAAGGAAGCTAATAAAAAGCTTTTTCCAACCACTTTATTATCATTAATTGATCTTTGTATTATTTATAACTATTTCTTTTGCATTCTAGGAACTCCTGGGGTTTTGTTCTCCCTGGTGAACTGCTGGGATTGGCCTGGAATTTGCAGCCAGGAGAATGTCACCCAGTTTCCTACCATCAGGATTTACAAGGAGGGAAAGCAATCAGTGTTGTATGATGGAATGTGGGGGACTGAGGAGATGAGCAGCTTCATCATGCTGTAAGTGCAGAGTCCCCACCCTGGCACAGCTGCCCCATCCAGCTCGGGATACTTCATTGTGTTGTGGAAGTTCTTTCGGGAAAAAGAATGTCAGATCTGATGGTACACCTGGTTTGGAGATTAGCTTAATAACTTCTTGTGTTTTCCCATGTCAGAGAACATCTGTTCTTGGACAGCACATCCTTCGGTTGTTGCTGTCCCTGAGTGTTTGTGGGAATTCCGTCTCTGATTTTTTCTGGGGATCCCAAGAATCTCAGAGCAACCAGTTTGGCTCAGGGATGTCCTTCCCCTTCCCGTCCCTTCCCTCCTTCCTTCCCTCCCTTCCTCCCTCCCACCCAGATGGCTCCATTTTTGTCTCCAGTGAGGCATGATAGTTGGTCACATTGGGTTGGGGCATTGTTGGATTGATACTGCCCTTTGTCTCTTCATCCCAAAACTCTGCCTTTCCACAGGAGCCGAGTTTCCTGCCCACTGAAGCTGGCCACGATGGATGAAGCAGAAGGATATTTAAGAGGAGAGTTCCCCTCTGAGCTCTCACCCTACACCCACACTTCACTTCTGGGAGTGTTTAGCACAGCCACGAGTGAAGGTTAGTGTGGGATTTGTGGGTTAAGCACTCAACTTCATTCCTGGGAGAGGGCTGATTCCAGGTGCTTGGAAGTTTCTCACCACCCTCCCAGTGTCCCATCTAACCCTGCCCTCTGGCAGTGAGAAGCTATTCCCCCTTGTCCTGTCACTCCAGGCTGTTGTCCAAATTCCCTGTTGTGTCTCCTGCCCCTTCCTGTGGAGAGTTTGGCTCTGTCGTCATAAATCCCTTCAAAACAGTTGTAGCCTGGCATTAAATTCCCTCTTAGCCTCTGACTTAGCCCAGATCCATCAGCCTCTTCCTGTAGTCCATGTACAACACATCACAGCATATTCTGTCTTAAGGAAATCCTTTTCCACCATCAATCCAATCAAGCTCTTGCAACCAATACACAATCTAAAACCTTATTTCTTTTAAAACTAGAGCAGCAATAAGGTAAAACACAAATTTCCTGCATCAAAAGGGATGAAATGGGGGTAACTCTGTGTTTGCATGGAAAGAAGTGAACAACTCCTATATAGAATGCCAGAGTGGCTTGGATTGGAAGGTATTTTAAAGCTCACCCTATTCTACCCCCCCTGCCATGTGCAGGGACACCTTCCACTAGCCCACTTTGGTCCAAGTGCAGTCCAACCTGGCCTGGCAAACTCCCAAGGATGGAGCAGCCACAGCTTCTCTGGGCATCCTGTGCCAGTGCCTCACAGTGGAGAGCTGGGACATTCCAACCCCTCAGTCACTCAGTTCCCAGCTTCCCCTGGGAATTACTGCCTTAAAACCAGGAGAACTTTCTGATCTTGCTGAAGATAAACTCTCAGACTATTTTTCATTTTAAAGCTCCATTGTGCCCCTAAACTCTGGGTTAATGCAAACCAAGCTGCTTTCCCACATGAGGAGGTCCACAGGGAATCAATCCACTTGTGACCAGAGGTAAGGACTAAATGAAATGTCTGGAACTAACTGGAAAATGGGCTGTGCTCACTGAGGCAGCTGACAGCTACTTTCCTGCCTTCTGGAGGGTCTAATCTGGGAAATAAAGCAGAAAATCTGACTGATCCCACGAAAACTTCAGTCCTGCCCAGAGAAGCTGTGACTGCTCCATCCCTGGGAGTGTTCAGACCAGGTTGGATGGGGCTTGGAGCAACCTGGGCTGGTGGGAAGTGTCCCTGCCCATGGCAGTGGGATGGAACTGGATGATCTTTAAGGTTCTTTCCAACCCAAACCATTCTGGGATTCTGTGGAGAAGTTGTTGATTTCCTTCTGTGCAAACAAGAGCCTTGGAGGTTTCCAGAGAGCTCTTTGTGCAGCCTTTTCCCTCAAGGCACACTCTGTCTGCAATACAGAATCCAGTCATCCACACATGCCAAAGGAGATAGAATTCTGGATGCCTTCCCCACCCTTAACCTGGGGGTGTTGGAGCCTCATGCAGAACGACCTGAGGGAGCAGAAGCCTGGAGCCAAACCAGTCAGGAAAAGCACATTGCTCCTGTTATCAACCTTCAGACTTCTCTGGAACTTCCAATCATTTTCTTAGGGCAAGAATTCCTGCTCCGACCTGAACCAGCAATACTTCATGTCATTGTCATTTCTAGTTAACTGAAACAGAGCAGTGACATGTCCAGCTAAAGAAGTCCCTGGACTTTTCCCAGCCCTTTGCATCAGGCCTTTGGTAGCTCTGAGCTAAAAGATGCTTGTTGGAAAAATTCCTAATGAATATTTATTAGAAAGAGGTGAATGGTATTCCAGGGTAATGAATTAGTGTTTTTCTGGAAGCTTGGAAACTTCTAGGAGAGAAATCTGTTTGCTGTGCAGGAACTGGAATCATCCTTGGAAATAAGAATGTCTTAAACTGTGTGGCAAGTGTTCTAAACTACACCTGTGTTCTGCAGTGTTCTGATGCCTCTCAGGGCTTGGCAGCATCCATGGAATCCAAAGGAGGAAGGCACAAGAGATGCTACAGGTGCTGCTGGAAATTCCTTCTGCTAGAAGGAGTGATGCTCAGATCCTTCCTGCCAGAACTCTAGGGACTTTAGAGCCTTCCTCATCTGGCAGCTTTGTTCCTTGTTTCAAGACCAGTGAAGCTGCAATTCATGGCAGCTGCTGTGGAATACATCTGGAATTCTAGCTCATGGAATGTGCTGCAGTGCTTGGCCAGGCCCCACAGGGAATGAAACCAGTGCTCTCCAGGGGACTGATTTCCTAGGAAATATTTAAATAGATTCCTTAGAAGTACTTCCTGTCTGCAGTGAAGCTGTGTGACTTTGGGGGGTTCTGGCACAGAGCTGAGAGACTCAGTGATCCTTGTGGGCTGATCCTATGAAATGTCTTTCTTTCCACACTGATAAGCAACCAAAGAGCTGGAAACCAACATCAAAACTATCCAGTGGTGGTTTTTGTCTGTCACAAGATGAAGCAACCAAGCTGTGTCACCAGCTTTGTTCCATGTGTGTTGTTTCCTACACAGGACACAGACCTGTTGGAGCAAGTCCAGAGGAGGCCATGGAGGTGTTCCAAAGGCTAGAGCAGCTCTGCTCTGGACCCAGGCTGGGAGAGCTGGGGGTGTTCAGCCTGGAGAAGAGAGGGCTCTGGGGAGACCTTAGAGCCCCTTCCAGTGCCTAAAGGGGTTCCAAGAGAGCTGCAGATGGACTTGGGACAAGGGCATGGAGGGACAGGACACAGAATGGCTTCCCACTGCCAGAGGGCAGGGCTAGATGGGATATTGGGAAGGAATTATTGGCTGTGAGGGTGGTGAGGCACTGGCATAGGTTGCCCAGAGGGGCTGTGGCTGCCAGGTTGGATGGGGTTTGGAGCATCTTGGTCTAGTGGAAGGTGTCCCTGCCCATGGCAGGGGGTGGAATGAGATGATCTTTAAGATCCTTCCAATCCAAACCATTCTGGGATCCTATGATGTCTGAACCCTCAATGAGCCACTCCTAAAGGATTAAAGGTACCATTTGAAAAGAAATACAGTGGAAATGAAAGTTTATGGTCCCTGTGGGAACCAATGGAAACTATGGCTTGGAGTGTAGCTGAAAAAGGAGTCAAAGAACCAAAAAGTGCCCAGTTGTAAGCCCACCCCATCTCCTGAGCTCTGAGTCACTGGTCCCAGGAGCTTGGGCTGTGGTGCTGTGATGGTGAATGGTATGAGGACACTAACTGGGAGCTGTATGAGATCTTACTTAGGTCATAAAGCAACACTATATCACAGATACATCCTTAATCCTCAGGAAAAAGCCTTACTTTGCCACAGAGTGAGATTTCTCCTTTCCTGTGGTCAGAAGAACCTTTTCTGTTGCTTTCAGTTGCTAAATCCAAAGGAGGAGGGGTTGGGAGTGGTATTGAAATCCATCCTCTTCTCACCCCACCTTTGGAGCAGTTGTTTAGATCTCTGATCCCTAACTGCATTCCACATGCTCACTCAATGTGGCTTAGATGTTCCCACAAAGCTTGACTTTCCCATGGATCCAGCTGCCAGGCTGGACAGGGCTTGGAGCAACCTGGGCTAGTGGTAGGTGTCCCTGCCCGTGGCACAGGGTTGGAATGAGATGAACTTTAAGATGCTTTCCAAGCCAAACCAGTCCAGGATTCTATGAAAGCTGAGGTTGTTTTATAGGGGAATAAACCAGTTCTGGATTCAGCTTCATTTTGGGGCTCTGCTCTCAGATGGATTCAGCTGAGATGGATCAAGGGAGCCCCAAGTGGTCCTTCCGAATCCTGTAACAGCCTCTGCCTGCTTGGAAGAAGTGGATAAAACCAAAAGACACTTGGGGGAGAGGTTGGTTTATCTCTGGGCTCTTAGCACTATTCCATAAAGTCATCATCCATCATCTCCCAAAGGTCACTGGGATTTAGAAGATTTCTATTTAAGACTTATAATTGGTCTCTTGTTTGTAAGAACACTTAGGGACTTGAAGTCCTTAAGGACATTTCATTTTCCATCAGTCCTGCAGATCCTGGAAACTCACTGGTGGTGGCTGCAGAGCAAACACTGCTCTCATAATGGGAGTATTCCTTTGATCCCTTCAGTCACTGCCAACTCCTCTTCCCATGGCTGTGAGCCTCAGCCATTTCTCAGGGGCCTCTAATCCTGGTTTCATTCCCAACAACTTGCTCTGGGAGGTGTAATGTGTGCAGGCTGCAACTGAGTTTCCAGAAGGAGTCTCCACACCTCTTTTTCTATTGTTTATTCTTGTATCTTTGCCTATTTTTTTCCAGCCAGGAAAGCTTTTGAAGAGGCAGGAAACATCCTAAGTGGCCATGTAAGGATGGGGATGTATTTGGAAGATGACTCCATGGCTCTGTAAGTTGTTTCTCTTTTCCTTTGGGAAGAATCCAAACTGATTTGTGTTTAGTGTAAGGCAATGCGTAGGGCGAGTGTCCCTGGCCAGGCTGAGTGACAGCTATGAGTGACGTAGGCCTCTGGGAAGATTGGTCAGGATTCATCCGAAGGAAATTCTCACCTTGTCTCTGCCACTGATTCACAGCTTGTCCATGGGCAACTCCTTCAGCCTGTTGACATGAAGTCATGTCACTTCCTGCTGTTCATATTCATTCCAGGTATTTGCAGTCCTCCATCCCCCGTGGGCCTGCTTTGGTTCCTCATACAAAAAAGAGCAAACTTTAATGAAGGAAAAAACAGGCTGGAAAAATTATACAATCAGTGTGCGAGGGAGAAAAACCCAATTCTGCCCTACTCTTTCTGTCAGGAAGAAGTGATGGATTGGCACTGACCTTCCTCTTCCTCCAGTCCCTTCACTTGCTCTGGTTGCTTCCCCCAGTTGCCAAGGGGCTGCTTGTGACTACTTGCAGGCCCTCTGGGCTAGCAGTGGAGTGGCCATTGAGTCTGGATGCTGGAAAAGCCTTTAGAAGCCTGGAAATTAATGCTGTCTTGCCATGGAGCTGCCTTGGAGCTTTGGTCTCATCCAGCTTCCCTGTAGGCACTCACATCTGTCTGGGAGATGTTTGCACCTGCCAAGGATGGGGAGCAACCTACCTCCAACTGTTCAACATCTTTCCATGGATCTTTAATTCCTGAAAGATGTTCCCTCCCTTATCCTTCCCCCTGGCAAGAGCAAGATGTTACCACCATTTCCAGACAGAACACTGGGAGGAAGAGTGCTGGAAAAACAGAGCAACCTTCCTCTTGCACATGTGGTAAAGGCGAAGTCAAGGCTCTCCTGGCCAGCTCCTGATGGAATAAGCTTCAATTGCATCCCTAATTTTAAGCCAGATTGGAGCTAATGGGATCTGAGCACTTAACTGTGTCATTAACACTCCAGCAAGGGGCAAAGTGCTTTGGATCAGAGTGTGAGAAGTGCTTCCAAGATACACCCAGAGGAATCTTGAGCTTGTCCTGGCATCTCATTTCCTTCAGGAATTAGCTATCAAGGCAGAGTTAAAAGTCCCAAAAGGTCCTTGGCCTGTTTTTCAGGTGTGGGTTTAACAATTCCTTGGTAATGCACCAAGGAATTACTTCCATTAGTTTCTTAGAGGTGTGGTGCATCCCTGATGAGACGTGAGCATTAACCAGGCTCCAGGAACCAGCCATGGTTGGATCTTGGAAGTGAGGCAGTGCCAAGCCTGCATCGGAGACCACTGGGCAGGTCCCAAAATCACAACCCCCCAGGCTGAGACTTCTCTCCCCTAAGGATCTCGGGATAGAAGAAATAAAAGCAAAGGACAGCAGAGTGATCTTCCAAGGTCCTGGTAGGAAAAGCCTCTCTGTCTTCTCTCAGTGCTGACACAGGCAAGGATACACCTCCCTGCTCCTGCTCCAGGAGCCTGAAACCTCCTCCTGTTCCTGTGGAATATTTAGTACAGTTTATCTTGATCCTCATCCTGCCAAATTTGGATTGGGGCTGTGATTTGTGGGTGAAGCTACTGTAGCTGATCAACATTTCAACTGTAAGTAGAAAGTAAACACTTACAGAAATTCCTTATGTAAGAGTCAAACTCACTTCACTTCCTCAGAAAAAGCAAAGCTAGTCTTATGGTCAGCTCTCAAGGAGGAAAGTACTTGTGGCTCTCAAGTCACAGAAAGCTGATTCCTCTCTTTCCAGAGCAAAAAGGCTACACAACACACTATGAATGTTGTTAGCAGACTGTTGCTCAGGAGGTACCTGCTGGGCTGGTCACTGATGAAGGGAGAAAAGGCATTGAGGGAGAAATGCTTTCAATGAAGTTGTTATTTATTTCCACATCCATGGCAGAGGTTCTGCCAAGAGCTTGTTTGCAGATAGTTTGGATTTAAATGCAAGGCTCACATTACCATCCAGTGCCACTGCTGGATAAATATGAGCTGTAACAAACAATACAACCCCTCAGTGCCAAGAAGATGAAGATTGATTGCAGGGTGGAGAGCTTGGGAATTCCTTGGGTTTCCTGTATTGTGTGAGGAATTTCCTTATAGGACCATGAAATAGATTCCCAGAATGGTTTAGCTTGGAAGGATCTTAAAGCTCATCTCATTCCACCCACTGCCATGGGCAGGGACACCTTCTACTAGCCCAGGTTACTCCAGGCCTCATCCAACACTCCCAAAGATTGAGCAGCCACAGCTTTTCTGGGCAACCTGTGCCAGTGCCTCAGCACCCTCACAGGCACTGCTGAACTAGTTGATGTATGTAGACAGAGGCAGAAGAGTCCTCACCTCCTCTGAGCCATGACCAAGCCAGAGAATCTCTTTAAAAGCTGTTTGAGAAGCTCAAAATCCATGAATTTAAATTTTTGTGGGGGTTTATCACTCTTAATCAATGGTAAATACAAGTTAGTTTGCAAAGCAACAGAGAGGAAAGTTAAGCATCTTCCTCATAGCCCAGAGGTGTGAGACTCAACTTCCTTGGAGTAGCAGAGCTTGGGAGTCCTCACAGGGAGAGGAAAGCTTAGCTCAGGACTGGAATTGCAAAGATACATTAAGAAAGCTGAAATGGCTCAGATAAATCCAAGAATAGTTTAGCAGTGGTTTCCCAGCATTTGAAGGCCTCAGGGAAGTCCATGGTCAGGAGTTGGACTTCAATGACCCTTGTGGGTCCCTTCCAACTCAGGATATTCTGTGATTCTCTGATTCCTGTTGCTCTTT